ATTTGCCCGTTTCATCGCTTGCTTTTCTCAGGTGGCTTCGGCCCCAACAGATAACAGCAGAAGTGCAAGAGCTGCTGTGCCTACAGGTGAATACACTTAACTTCTCATGGCTAGACAGCTTTGGTAGTTTCTTAGCCAAAAGATATTGGTTATAATCAAGTGTTGATGGATTCAAAGCCTTTTTTTCATGGGGTTATGGATATCAATAGTACAACGCCATTCTCTCATTACTGCACTTTCTATTGTTCATCTTGGCTGGCTGCTGCTTTCCTATGAACTTTGTTTGTACAATAATATAAAGAGATGATGTATGTGTTCATTTCTAAAGCTTACTTCTGATTTTTGTTTTTCTTTTACTGTCTTACAAACAGGAAATGTTGGGGGAGCGGTTCAGGTAAATTTGCTGTAAAACTTGTGTATAATTACAAATTTAGTATTGATTTTATGAACATGGAGATGACTATTTGACAAATATCGATTGATTTGACATGACGTATTACTATCAAATAAGTGAAAGAAAGAATTAGTTCATCTAGTTGAAATATAACGTCGCAGGTCCATATTCTTGCATGCCCGACTCATGCTACTTTGTTTTATGCTAAATTACCTTACGTTCGTCCAAGAATCACAATTCAAAGTTTATGGACCTATTTTTATAAATAGGTACAACTATGAAAGTTGTTATAAAACGTTTACCTATGTACTCGGGTTTGAGTATGTGTTTCATTGTTATGATTCAACGATTCGACTCTGTTTGTATTGTGATCACATAGGGTCCCGAGTTCGAAGGCAAAGTAGCGAAGCTCGTTGAATTGGGATTCCAAAGAGAGGCTGTAATACAAGCTCTCAAACTATTTGATGGAAATGAAGAGCAGGCAGCTGGGTTTCTTTTTGGATGAGTAATCTGAGTACAGAATGTTTGGATTTCATTTCTTTGTGGATTATATGTTTTAGATTTATTAATTATATAATCCACAAGCATTCATCTGCTTGTTATTCAGATTTTAAACTCAGATTCAAACAATATTTATGTTAAATCAAAAGAAGATCAAACATTATGGACATTTTAAGCTTTCATGTTTGCCTTTTCTTCCTTCTATGATTAATGGTTTTGGATTTCTTACAAGTCATTGAATTAAATATAAAATTGTTCAAAACGACAAATATTTTGGTACTTGTGAGTTGTAGTAATCTTAAATATGTTATAATTTGTATCGGTCGGTTTGGATTGCTGATATTGTTTTATAGGTATGAATACGAAACGTAAAGTTTATTAGAAAACACAAGGTGATACATATAGTAAATGACATTGCTATCATGTACAACAAGTTAGCGATGCAGGCCTAAAAGTGTGACCAATACACTATTGGTCATATGTAATGGAAAGACAAATTTATTGACCTCATTGAGTTTCGGGTTTGGTTTCAAACGAATCAGATATAAAGCACTTAGGTTAGGTGACTGTTGGTCTCGACCAGTTGTAGTTAGGTCTCTTAGTTGCACTGTAGCTCATTTGATTACTTTTGATATCACTATTGTGGAGTAATTCATCATATTATACCTACATCAGAAGTCTGGATCGTCTTTGATTGATAATATTCTCAATTCTAATTCTTCTAACGAGGTTGAATCTCATATTAATCAATTTTGATTTATTAACTATATATTAACTTCATTATAAGTTAGTTTAGAGTTGCACTTACAAGTTATGTTTATGGATATAATTTTTACAAGTCAGTCGATTCTTTATGAGTTGTTCGTAATTAATGGATTTCAAAATATGAGAATGTGAGAATGAATTACAAAAATGAGAATGAATGGATTTCATCTCGTAAGATTATGCTCATAGCTCCTTATTAGGTCAAGTTCTCAAAATCTTGGACATAGTGAATCAATTACAAAAATTATTTTCATCCACGCAAATAAAAAACAAACCCTCACCGACAAAAGTTCATAACTCACTCAAGATTAAAATCGAGTTACATATAATCTTGTGAAATATTAAGATTTTGAATCAACGGATTTGTAAGGAGAGATTAAATATTTTGTAGTCTAATCTTATATATACTCATTATATAGCATACAAGTCCTCATATGTCACCATCTCAATAATTTGGATCAAATCATTTGTATTCTATAGACCTTTTAGAATATTACTTTAGGATTGGGAAGAGACAATGGAATTGTGAGACCAATATAATAGGTTCAGAAGTGAAGCCACTTTACCGAGTTCGAGAGGTTCAGGAGCAAAGCAATGAGACCGATAGGAAGAGGAGCGAGAGGAGTGCTCTTCATAGCTAGCTCAAGGTCAGCGTGACACTATGACTATTTACAGTGGAAAAACTCATTCTACCTCTTCAATTGGCGGAATTGCCACATATGAAATTGGGCAAAACTTTCCAAAGAAATAACCCACTTCTTTCTCGAGAAGAGATGAGAAAGAAAGATGCTCAATATCATTTGATTGAATAGTTGACCCAGCTTCTTGTTGTTTGAAGAAGCTCAATCGGTATTTTTTTCACGAAAAGCAAGAGATAACAAATCCCGTCTTTCACTAAGATTTCGAATACTTGTCTCAAATTCAAGTTGATTATCTATATATATATATATATATAACCTTGAATTACATTTATAAAAACAAATATTTTACAAACATTTCAAATATAGACAATTAGAGTATCATATAGTAGGTGAAGTATTCAGTTATCTTTTTTCTAGCTTCAACTATTGCCACGTCTCAATCTTAATAGATGAAAGAGCAACACAGTTCTGAAGCCTAGACATCCAGTGCACTATTGTTCCATCTATAGTGTAGATATATCCATGTGTTATTGCTGGAGTCTACATCTTCATTAAGATCAACATCTACAAAATCTTGCAGAACTACTTTGGCATAGTAAAGTGAAATACTAGATATACTTCTCAGATATATCAGAAGCTACTTCACAGCTTCCTAATGTTCATCGAATTCATGTGTGTTTATAACTTGTATGATAGAATTATTCAAGTGATGTTGATCAAATCTCTTGTAGAGTGATTCAAACCACGAGCTTAGAAACAAGTTTACTTTACTCTTAATCTTGATCGTCAAGGTAATTGTCCTAATACTTTTTCTTGGGTTGATTCCTTATCATTTTTTGGGATGCTTCAAGAATTTAGATTTAAAGATTTTGTTCTTCAACAAGGTTCTTAGATCAAATCCCAAAAACTTTGTAAAAAGAAGGTCGCTATAATGCTTGATTATCAAATATGTCGATGCCCAATCGTTCACTGACATTGAATCCTCACTATCTACGTTCACTTGAAGAAGAAAATGATGACGTGGGTTGGTGGTGGGGTGCACGAGAAGAGAAGAAGGTTGAAGATGGTGATGGGGCACAAATGTAGGTCGTGTTAGATATGATTCAAAGTATTCAAAAAGATATGATTCATAGTAGTTGAGATATAATTCAAATATTCAAACTACGAAGATTTTAGGAGATTGTTAGTAGATTTGAATTTTTCTAGATTTTGATGATTTATTATTTCTGGTTCAATGTATAAGCTATAAATACGGGAATTGTGTAACCCTCTAAACATCAAGTTAGTAGACAATAATAGAGCACTGCAGCATTCATTTATTCTATCTATTATTATCTCTTTCATTATCCCTTTTTCCAACAGGTCGATAGCTATTTTTTTCATCCTTTCACCTTCTTCGGGTTTTCTCGATCTTCATCCTTTCACTTTTGTCAGGTTTTCTAGTCGTGCTTCGGTTGTGACGTATGAAAAAGGTTATATAACATAAATTTTGGTCCAAACTTTGGCAATTGGATTTAAAATTGGACAAAAAAAAAAAAAAAAGCATAGAAT